CCCCCCCCCCCCCCCCCCCCGCCCCCCTCCGGGCCCTCGTCATCCGGACGCACGCAGCTGGACCGCCAGCTCGACACGGAGTTCGTTCTCCACGGCTTCCTCATGAAGCGCGGCCCCAGCCCGAAGAGCCGCTTCCTTCGGAGGTGGTTCCTCATGGACCGGACCACGGTGTGGTACTTCAAGGAGCCCCTCTCGGCCGAGCCCCTCGGGCGCTTTGCCCTGGGCACCGCCGCCAGCGGCTTCTCCGTGGATCATGACCAGATCGACCTGGATAACCGGACCCTCCCGCATGCCGCGGCCACCGGGGCCCTATCAAGCGTCGGGCTCTCGGCCACGGATCCCCATCACAGCGCTCATCACTACCACCATTCGGAAGTCGGGGTCGGCGGCGGTCGGCGCTTCAACATCCACACCCCCCATCCGGAGTCCGATGGCCAGCCGCGGACTTACTACCTGGAGGCCGAGTCGCGTCATGACGTCCGGCTTTGGGTTCGCGCACTGGAGGATACCTTCGGCGTCTGTTGAGCCTGCACGTCCCGCCTCCCGCCTCCCGCCTCCCGCCTCCCGCCTCCCACCTTCCGCCTCTCGCTCCCTTCCTCGGTCTTCCTCCTACTTTCCCCTTCTCTTCTTGTTCGCCGAGGAGCGATCCGGAGATTCATGCTGTCACCATTGGAGCGCAAGGAGGAGCGAGGAGGAGGAAAGAGGGGGTCTGCCCAGGCGACGGACTGGAGTGGCAACATACACACATACGCATGCGCAACGCATGGCGCCCGCCGCCGCCGCCGCCAAGCGAAAGAGGCAGCCCCTGGAGATGGACGGACGCAGGGGCAGGGCGCAGCACGGCCCGGAGGGCCAAGAATGCCCGGACACGGTCGCGGGGCAGGGGAGGAGCCAGCCCCAAAGGAAGGGCACCCGCAGTCGCGCCACCTTCCCTCCTGTGCGGCTCCCTGCGGCCCTCGCCCTGCCCCTTTCGCGCCGCGGCTCCCCCTGCCTTTCTCCGTTGGGCCCTCAATCCATGTCCTTGAGAATACAAACACGTGATACAACGACAACTTAGGTTGTGTGCTGGGATGAGGACCATTGGCATGCGCGCGGTGGCCGGTCGGTTGGCCGGTCTGGCGCCGAGTCAGGTACGGGGGTATATGCGGCAGATCGTGGCCCCATCGCCGGGCGGCGAGATCGGGGCATGCTCTCTCTCCAGCCGCTGTTTCCCTCCCCGGCGGTCGTTCCCCCCCCCCCCCCCCCCCCCCCCCCCCCCCCCCCCCCCCGCCCTCTTCCCCCTTCGCCTCCTCTCCCATCCTCTCCCTGTCTCCCCCCCCCCCCGGTCGCTCGACTCCCCCTCCCCTCTCCTCATCTCCATGCTTCATACCCTCCCGCGGGCGGTCTCCCTCCGCCCCTTTGGCCTGCTGCGGGCGGTCGCCCCCCTGCACGGCATCGGCCGCCGTCTCTACAGCGTCCCTGGCACCGATACCGGTGAGTCCTCAACACCGAGCATCTTCGGTCAGATGGCCATGCACCAGCCCGGAGTCGGTGGCGGCCGGCCGGAGCTCACCGTCGACTTGGCTTCCATCCCGCCGGAGCGCATTCGCAACTTCTGCATCATCGCGCACATCGATCACGGCAAGAGCACCCTGGCCGACCGGCTGCTCGAACGCACCGGCACGATCCGGCCCGGATCCGGGCGCGGGGGCGGCAATGAGGCCCACATGGCGCAGCTCATGTCTTCCATCCTGGATGCCGACGGCAAGCCCATGGTCTATGAAGGCCCGAGCCCGGTCCACCGAACCACCGACAACCGCCAGGTCCTGGATAAGCTGAAGGTCGAGCGCGAGCGCGGCATCACGGTCAAGGCCCAGGCGGCCACCATGTTCTGCCGGGTCCCGGCCCCGGGGTCGGACGACCCGTCCACCGGTGAGCTCTACATGTTGAATCTCATCGACACCCCGGGTCATGTGGATTTTAGCTACGAGGTGTCTCGGTCGATGGCCGCCTGCCAGGGCGCCCTGCTGGTGGTGGACGCCAATCAGGGGTCTCAGGCGCAGACGGTTGCCAACTTCCAGCTGGCTCTGCAGCACGATCTGGCAGTGGTGCCTGTGCTGAACAAGGTACGCTTGCCTTGCGCGCTTGTCCTGGGGCTCAGCCATTGCCCGGGGCTCATCCGTGCTTGGCGGGAATACCGCTTCCTTCCTCCTTTCCCCCCCTCCCCCTTCTTCTCTCTCTCTCTCTCTCTCTTCGCCCCCCCCTCTGCAGCTGACCACGTGCCGTCGCTCCCTGCCAGATCGATCTTCCTGATGCTCGGCCCGACGACATCCTCGACGAGATTGAGAATCACTTCGGTCTGCCGCGCGACCCCCATTGCCGGGTGTCGGCCAAGACCGGCTACGGCATTGAGTCAGTTCTGAAGGTCCTCGTGGAGAACACCCCGCCGCCGGTCACCAATCCCGATGCCCCGCCCCGGTCACTGCTCTTCGACTCCTGGTACGATGAGTACCGTGGCGTCGTGTGTCTCATTAAGATCGTCGACGGGACGCTCCGCCGTGGTGCGCATGTGTCTCTTGTTTGCCCCCGCCGCGAGACCATCTCCTCCCCATGTCTCTTCCTCTCTCCGCTCTTCTCCGCGCCGATTGCCCCCTGTGCCCCCCTCCCCCCCCCTCTCCCGCTGTTGCCGGGGGCCACGGGACGCGCTGTTCTGTTTTTTTCTAATCTCCCTTTCTGGTGTACAGGGGATCGCATCATGATGGCCCACTCGCAGCAGCGCTACGAGATCACCGACATCGGCGTTATGTACCCGGAGATGGTTTCCTGCGAGGCGCTGTGCGTGTCCTCCCACGGGCCCCGTGATTCTGTTTCTCCCCCTCACACTCTCGCCCCTCTCCTCTCACAGCTACCCCGGGCAGGTGGGCTACATGACCTGTAACATGAAGACCGCCCGCGACGCTCGTATTGGCGACACTATCCACCTCTTCGACCAGGAGGTCGAAGTCCTTCCGGGTTTCCAGCCGGCCAAGTCCATGGTGCGACTTTCTCCCCCTTTTTTCATGGCTTTTGTTGCTCGCGTCGATGTCTGCTCGGTGCTCCTGACACATGGACGTGCTGTTTCCTCCTCTCCCCCTGTCGCTGGTTCCGGGCGTCGGCAGCTCTTCGCCGGTGTCTTCCCTGGCGATGCCAGCGAGCTGGAGCGCCTGCAGGAGGCCGTCGACCGTCTGACCCTCAATGATGCAAGTGTCTCCGTGCAGAAGGAGTCCAGCAATGCCCTCGGCCAGGGCTGGCGCCTCGGGTTTTTGGGGCTGCTCCACATGGATGTCTTCCGCCAGCGCCTGGAGGAGGTCCGCTCCCCCCCCCCCTTTTTTATAAAAGCGCCTTTCTCCTCACCTCTTGCCTTCGTCCGGACTCACCCCTTGCCCTCGGTTCATGTCATCCTCTCCTCCACCTCCCCCGTCCACCCAGGCCATTGACTCCAGTGTCATTATCACCGCCCCGACGGTGCCATACAAGGGTGCGCACTCGTCACTCGCCTTCCTGGCAGCCCTTCTTCCCTTCATGGTGCCTTCAGACGATCTGACCCTCTCCGGCCACCTCCGCTTCGTGGTCACCGGCAGCCACCATGAATGACGGTTCCGTTCTGGACATCCGCACTCCGAACGAGTTCCCGAAGGATACAACCAAGGTCCGCGAGTTCCAGGAGCCCATGGTATCCGGAACCATGATCTTCCCCATCCAATACCTTGGCGCGGTGGTCCGCACGTGCGAGGTGCGTCCTTCCCCTTCCCTGTTATCGCGCGGCCGAGGATGTTGTCTTACACATGCACATGTGCAATCTCCGTCTCTCTCTCTCTCTCTCTCTCTCTCTCGCACACATGCGCACAAACGCGATCCTGTCCATCCATCTGGGCCATGAAACAGGAGCACCGGGGATTGCAGCAGGAGATGAACTTCCTCGAGTCCGATCGTGTTCTCCTCCGATACCGTCTCCCGCTGGCGGAGATTGTGACCGATTTCTATGACACCATCAAGTCCGTATCCAGTGGCTACTGTACTTTCGACTACGAGGCGGATGGATACCAGAAGGCCCCGCTGGTTCTGCTGTCGGTCCTGTTGAACGGACGCCCTGTGGATGCCCTCGACCAGATTGTCCACAGTGAGCACGCACAGCGCATCGGCCGGAAGCTGTGTG